TTCCTGCTCCTCTGATGCTGCTTGGCCTGCCGTGTTCATCCAGCTCCACACCATGTTATCTAAAGTTCTCATTTGCTGCCTCTCACCAAACCAGTGGAATGAAATTCTGAAAGAAACAATCAGCCTCTCTAATTCAAAGAGGAAGTCTCTCATCTAAGACTCTAGCAGCAGAGAACTCAAGCTGTTAGCTCAGCAGCAGCAAAAACCTTCTCACTAACTGAAAGCAAAACTAAAACCTTCTTGGGTCTGTGTGAGCCCTGACCCTACCTACTCATGCTTCTTTTGAGTAATTCTTTTTAAAAAACATCCAGGGATACCTCCAAAGTGTATAACAACTGCCTATATGAAGCAGGCACCCTGACGCCACTGTGGCAACACCTCTGTGCAAGAGAAACAACACAGAACACATCACTCTTAAAGGCACAGTACTGTCAAAATATCAACTCTGTCTTCTCTTCACAGATGCTGTCAGACTCGCTGAGTTACTCCAGCAATTTCTATTTTTGGTTGTTTAAAAGCATGAGTGGTTTTGTTAAATAAGAAGAATAAATAAATAAGAAGAAATCTGTTACAAATGAACAAAAGAAAAAGTACAGCACAGGAACAGGCCCTTCGGCCTTCCAAATCTGTGCCGACCATCGTACCCTAATTAATCTAAAAACAAACCTGCCACTTTTCGATCCGTATCCCTTTATTCCCTCCCTATTAATGTTACCGTCTAGGTGCCTCTTAAACGTCTTCAATGTGCCCGCTTCCACCGTCTCTTCTGGTAGTGCATTCCAGGTGGCTATCACCCTCTGCGTGAAGAACTTCCCTCACACATCTCCCTTAAACTTTCCCCCTCTCACCTTGAACCTGTGGTCCCTTGTAATTGAAACTTCAACCCTGTGAAAAAGCCTCTGACTATCCATCCTATCTATGCCTCTCATAATTTTGTAGACCTCTATCACGTCTACTCTCAGCTGTCGTCTTTCCAGTGAAAACAATCCTAGTTTTTTAACCTTTCCTTATAGTCAATGCCCTGGAGACCGGGCAACATCCTTCTCTGCACTGTCTCCAAAACTTCCACATCCGGTAGTGTGGTGACCAAAACAACACACAATACTTCAAATGCGGCTTAACAAGGGTTTTATATAGCTGAAACATGTTTTGCCATCTCTTGTACTCCACGCCCCAGGCAATGAAGGCAAACATGACGTATGCCTTCTTAATCACCTTGGCTATCTGTGTTGCCATTTTCAGGGAACTGTGGACCTGCATGCCCAGATTCATCTGAATGTTAGTGTTCCTAAGGGTTCTGCCCTTTACAATATAATTCACACCGAAATTTGATCCTCCAAAATTCATCACCTCACATTTGTCTGGATTAAACTCCATCTGCCATTTCTGTGCCCAAATCACCAATCTGTCGATATGCTGCTGTATACTTTCACAATCAGAAACTCGGTGACAGAAGGTTGATGATACAGTGTTGACAACACAGTTTTGAGGTGATTGGCAGAACTAATGAGGGTATGGAATAAACTTTCAGTGCTGCCTGAAAAAGGCACTGCAAGTAAATTCAATCCTGACATTTAAAAATGTACCGGAGAAATACCTGAAGAGGAAAAATAATCTGAAAAATGATCGGGACAGTTGGAAATTTCTACAGCCCCATGTGAAGGCATACTCAGTACAGTTCAATGAGTTTCCATGTGGAACAGTTTTGACAGTCAAGCCTGCTGGGTAGATACAGTCAATGGTTGCCTTGGTACTGGGATGGGAGCTGGTATTTTATTTTAGAGCTATGTTTCTTTAAACATGAGAGAATTCCACCCCTATCTTCCTCTTTGGTAATGACAGATACAAAGTATTGATTTAACACCTCAGCCATGCTCCTTCTTCCAGGTATAAATCCCTTTCTTGGTCCCTAATTGGCTTTTCCCCTCAATGTACCATTTACGTGTTAATTGGAGACTGCGGGATACCTCTATGTTAGTTGCCAGTGTTTTCTCTTTGCTTCTCTTGTTGCATTTTCACACCTGCACCCCTCTCCCACCGACCCATCTGAACCTTCTGTATTTTTCTTAGTACTCAAGTTCATTTTTACCTGTCTTAAGCATACATTTATTCTTTATCTTAAAATTGATCTCCTTTGTCATTCAGGGAGCTCTGGATTTGTTTGTTGTATCTTTCTCATTTGCAGGAATAGACTTAACTCTACCCAAACCATCTCCTCTTTGAAGATGGTCCATTGTTCAGTTACTGTTTCTCCTACCAACCTGTCAGTCCTGTCAATCCTGCCCAGCTCCATTGTTGCTGCACCAAAGTGCACTCTCAACCTATTGGTAGTGAATACATCAGCTGTGAAGAGTCTTCCTGCTTAGGTCACAGTGATGTAGACACATTAGCTAGTTGCCATGGAACTGGAGCCTAGGTAATTTACCCTGGAGGAACCATAGAGTCATAGAAATGTACAGCACGGAAACAGACCCTTCAGTCTAACTCGTCCACGCCGACCAAATATCCTAAATTAATCTAGACCCTTTTGCTAGCATTTGGATCCTATCCCTTAAACCCTTCCCATTCATACACCCATCCAGATGTCTTTTAAATGTTGTAATCGTACCAGCCTCCACCACTTCCTCTGGCAGCTCATTCCATGCACCCACCACCCTCTGTGTGAAATGTTGCCCCTTATGTCCCTTTTAAATCTCTCCCTTCTCACCTTCAACCTATGTCCTCTAGTTATGGACTCCTTGGGGAGAAGACCTTGCCTATTTACCCTATCCATGCCCCTCATGATTTTATAAACCTTTATAAGATCACCCCTCAGCCTCCAACACTCAAGGGGAAATCACCCCAGCTTATTCAGCCTTTCCCTATAGCTCAAACCCTCCAGTCCTGGCAACATCCTTGTAAATATTTTCTGAACCCTTTGCAGTTATTCACGTGCAACAATGGGTGAGTGGTGATTATGGGTAACTTCCCCCACTGGGGTAGATAATTTTGTTCGTTGGGAGTAATCCAAAGTCTCGAACAACATGTTGCAAGTGGCAGAGCTTTTGGAGATCGTGGACCCAATACAAAAGATGCCAGAAAAGCAGAGATCATGGTTCATGTGGGAGCCAATAACGTAGAAAATTTGCTGGTATTTGTGGAGACAATTATAGCCAATCTGTTCAATGGACATTGATCAGGAATGGGACAGTCTGGTTGATATTTTGCTCCTCCCAACTCCAGGAGAACTAGGTCCAACTGCAGACTCAAACCCAGACCTCATAAAATCAGCTCATTACATTGTGACAGCTTTTGACCCAGAAACAATAGCAGTAAAGAAAACTTGCATCTAGGCCTGAAACGTCAGCTTTCCTGCTCCTCTGATGCTGCTTGGCCTGCTGTGTTCATCCAGCTCTACACCTTGTTATCTTGCAACAATGGGGCCTTTTTTTTTGTAAATGTTTGCAAGATTTTAAAAGGATTGTAATAATTATAAAGAGATAATTTACAACTTTTGGATAATAAATATTGGTCCATATGACTTGGCGATCCTTGACCTGGAAGCAAATACCAATACCAAGGGTGTTAAAATATAGAAGACCATTTGGATCACAACCTCCTGAAGAGAAATGATTAAGTCCTTGAAAAAAAGGGGATTGGAATTCTGCTGGGAAAATGGTGTGGTTGACCCTCCAGGTGGACTAACTGCTCAAAAACTTGGCGAGCTAGCCTCTCTTGTATCTGCTACTCCATGTTTAATTAGTATTTTACACTGACCACGATTTGCTGGTTATTTTGATTCTGACTCTCATTAAAAAGTTACAAACTGGCACAATTTTGTTGGAAACTTCTTTGTTTGAGAGTCTGATTGAAATAATCAAATTTACCAGATTCCTCAGGGATCATGCGAACTGGCCCTTGGTCTGAAAGCTGACTGGATGCCTATGCATGTCGTGAAGCTCATATATATATATAACTGGGCTATCAGTACATTCTGTATCAATACAAGTAGGATCACTTCTTAGTACTGGGAATTATTTTAATGTTTCATTGTTTTCGACATATTGGCTATTAAACACCTTTGCTGAACTCAGTAACCACACATGGAGAACTCATCAAAAAGTCAAAGTACAAATAAAACAGACATGACTTGTGGCTCATTTTCATTTATAAGTTTATTCAATACAGGCAAACATTGACAACCCCAATTATCAGATTAAACCATACTTGGGAAAATGGTCTTCATTCTGTTTGTCTCATGGTTAGAAGTTCTATTGCTATCAGTTTTAGCACCTACAAAACACAACACACTAACTCAATTGTGCTTTAATTCCTCATCTTGGATTTTCCACAATGGGTGCTTCATCAAAAGTTACTACTCATTCCCAAAACATTATTGAAAGCTGCTTCAATAAACAATTGTCATTATTCCAACAACTGGAGAACTTATGTTGCGATGGTACTTCACAAGACAGTAAGAAACCAAACTCAGGATGTTGATGGAACAATCAAGGTCACTTGTTGAAAATCTGTGAAGGTGAATCAGAGAAACAAATTTAATTGAATATGAGCATAGGCTAATAATAATGTCAATCCCTCACCTTTTCTTTTATTCTTGGGATGTAGATAATTTTAATAAGCTTTACTGTCCACCATGATTACACCATATGTGTATTAAGAGTCAAATATGTGGTGTGAGATTAGACTGAAATCACATCTAGGACAGATAGGGTAAGGGGTTACATCAGATATTGCCTCAATTTGGAAGGAGTAGAAGAATTGAAGAGTTTAAAATGATAACAAGAAGTGTTTGATTGGGTGGATAGGGAGAAATTAATCTCCGATGGGAGAACTCGGAACAAAGGGACACAATCTTAAAATAAGAGTTAGGCCATTTGGGAGTGAAATCTATGAGAATTTTTCACATAAATTGGTAATGGAAATCAGAAAGTTTCTCCCCAAAAAGTTTCAGATGTTGGGAGTCACTGAAATGTTAAACTGAGATCGATGGATCTTGTTGGGCAGGCAAATTTCCTTAGATAATCAATCGCGTTGGTTGGGCTGAATGGTCTTCTCCTATTCTTATAAGAAGCTGTATAAATATTCATTTGTCCTTAATTCCAAATACAGCCTATTCTGATGACTTCACTCCAATTAAGCTACCGGTAGCAGATGTTACTTGATCTTTCTGTGCAACTGAATACATATGTGATTCTGTAATGTTGTTGTGACTCATTTTTTCAGTTGAATCAAAACCATGTGTCAGTCAGGACTCAGTGTACAAAATTTGTGTTTTCCAATATTTTCCTTTCTGCTACCTGAAGTAAAATCATTTAAGTCCATTTAACCATTTAAATCTCTGAACTGCTCTCTCCCCCTCCTGAGGCTAGCTGAACCTTCATGACACCCTAGTTAAAATCCCCAAACTGAGCTCAGCCGTGGAATCAAATGTTATTCCCTATTGCACTTTGGAATTAAACAGAGACAATCCACTTTGTTAGTACAGAAGATGACAAACTGAAATGGCTGTATCCAAATTCACCAGAAAAGGGAACCCTTTCTGAGAGAAAGACTATGCTTTCAGCTGCTAAAGCTGGGAATTCCCACCCAAAACGTCTCTGGGTCTTGTTCCTCATGAAGAAACACCTTAGAACTTATCTGACCCGAGATGTTTTTCTTTAGCTCAGTATCCAACTTCATGCCAATGCTGCTATAAAGCACTGAGTTTAATTACACAAAAGGTTCCTGACAACTGAAGTTTGTTTGGGCACTGCACATCCTGCACAGTGAACAGGGGGCACGCAAGTGTGTGGGGAGGGGAAGGGGAAAAGGTCACTCACCTAGGATGAGCTTTGAGCTCTCTTCCTTTTCAGGTCACTTTTGTAGACTTTCTCCATGATTTTCCTCTCATGCCCAGCTGGGCAACTGCGATTCGTATTCCGAACGCTCTCTTTCTTGCTCCTGCCTTTCCCTCCATTGTGAGCCGGGTAATCTGCCAGATTGTAATACTCGTACTCATCGTAATGTGCTTCTTCAAATGACTCCAGGCTATTGCAAGACATTGTGCCTGGGGCGAATGGTCTAGAGGGAGGCTGGAGCTGGAGCTAGAGCTAGGACCTCGTGTACTGTGCTGTCCTAAACTGTGCTGTGCTGGGCTGCACTTGGCTGGGGTAATTCACTCTGTATGCCTTCATAGGTTCACTGTGATGTCAGGCTAAGGATGGACTGGCTTTTTTTTTTAAAACTGTACTGAAGAGAGGTGATGTATAAGTTTTCAGAGCAGTCGTTGGTTTTACTTCACTCTTAAATAAACTGTGACCAAATATGATCCAGATAAGCAGAGCTGATTTCTGATTCTCTGACACAGCCCTCTCTTTCACTTGTGGATATCCTGTCCCTCTACCTCCTTCTTCACCAGAGGCTATCTACCCATACTCAACTTCAACCATCTCTAACTAAATTAACTTCTTATGCCTATCCTCATCAATATTAAACTACTCAGGTCCCTACCAAGGCCTCTACTATTCTCACCTCAGTTGGTTTTACTAACTTTAGTATGGCTGTATGTTCATCTTGTGGAGGATTGCCATGGATGGGTCAAGGAAGTTGCAACTACTTCCTTCTTAAATGGGAGTTGGTGCATAGTGGTAATGGTGCTGAACTAGTAATCTAGAACTTCAGGCTAACATTCTGTCGACCAGCACCTAATGCTGGATCGGATCCCACCATGGCAGGCGATGACATTTGAATTCAATAAGAAATGGAATTTAAAAGCACGTCTAAAGGTGACCACTTTGATTATTATAAAATCCCTCTGGTTCACTAATGACCTTTAGAAAAGGAAATTTGCTGTCCTTACCTACATGTGACTCCAGGCCAAAGAAACGTGGTTGACTCTTAACTATCCTTCAGGATGGGCAATAAATGTCAGTAATGTGTACATTGATTAAAAAGCAGAAAATAAGGAACAACTCAAATTAAGACTGTGGTTGTCCAAGTCAGATCATCACCCACAAACAGATCCTCCAGAGACACCCATGCTTGTGTACCTTCTGCTTTAAAAATAATCATTCTGCCAGTTCCCCCAAATCCATTCAATCTGGAAGTTTACCTTTTGCACTAGAACTGAATACATTTGTTAAGTTAACTGAGGCTGCCCCAGGATCTGTGGGCCTGTCCCATTCTCTGCACTTCAGTTCTGACCTTCTCTAGTTCTTCACCTTTTCAACACCTTCAAGATTGTGTCATTTTGGACACCTCCACCATGAAATACATTTCTCAATCCTTCCACTTCCCATCTTCTCACTCTCACACCCATACTTCCTGCTGCTCTTCACCCACACATTGCCTAGGACCCCAAATATGCTTCAGGGCACGCAACTGCTGTGTCCTTTCTCTCTCATTTCCTCCATTTGAGCATCTGTCACTACCTTGGGAAGAACACATGCAAAATAAATGAGCAGTTTCCTGAACAGCTCAACTCTCTGAGCTCTCTAAATCCCACTAATTTTTATTTGCCACACCCACTACCCACTCTCACCTTTGCTGTTTTATAGAATCAAAGAGTCCCTATGGTGTGGAAGCAAGCCTTTCAGCCCATTGGGTCCACACTGCTCTCCAAACAGCATCCCATCCAGATCCACACCTATTCCTGTAACCCTGCAATTCCCATGGCTAATCCAACTAGCCTGCACATCCCTGGACACCATGAGCAATTTAGCATGGCTAATCCAGCTAACCTGCACATCTTTGGACTGTGAGAGGAAACCAGGGTACCCAGAGGAAACCCTTGCAAAAATGGGGAGAATGTACAAACTCCACACAGATGGTCACCCGAGGCCAGAATTGAACCTGGGTCACTGGCACCGAGAGGCAGCAGTGCTAACCCTGTGCCACCTACTTTCTTTAATGATTCTCTCCATTATTGAATTGAGACACAGTCCAACAGTGGTTCAATGGTACTTCTCCCGAGGGAGTTTGTCTCATTTACCCATCCCTTTGAATCTTTTACTCTTCAGTTCTGAAGGAGGGTCAAATCTTGAAACACTAATTCTCAAATCCTTTCTAGTTTTGTTCAATTTTCAGGATCAAAAGGATTTTATGCACAAAAGTAAATCTGTCATGGAATTAAGGATAAAAGACAACAAGGTAAAAGAATTAAAAAAAAGTGTATAGATTACAAGAAAGCTCAATGCCAAAAGTTATAAAACACATGAAAGGATGGAAATGATTGAGAATTTTATAAGGACACCATGACAACATATAATCTATGGACTTCAATATAAAAAGCATATGGCAGGAGTTTAAAGTAATGATAATCCCTGTGCAGATGTGTGTTTTCTTCATTCATTCATTGTGGGTGTTACTGGCCAGCATTTATTGCCCATCTTTAATTTCCCTGAGAGCAGTTAAGAGTCAATCACATTGCTGTGGGCCTGCAGTCACGTATAGGATGGCAGTTTCCTTTCCTAAAGGACATTAGTGAATCAGATGGATCTTTATACCAATCGGCTGTGGTATTACAGTCATCATCAGACTTGTAATTTTTTTACTAAGTTCAAATTCCACCATCTTCTGTGGCAGGATCCGAACCACAGTTCCAGAACACTACCTGGATCTCAAACAGTCTAGCAATTATACCACTACGCCATCACTTCCCCATATTGTAGAATTGTGAAGTGTGTCCTCTTGTGGAGTGTGTGTTCTTTCTATTCTGTAAATTAAACAGACCTACATTTTGCAATATATTGCAATTATTTGCATACTTAAATTGTGCAGCCGTTTTATTAGCTCATGTTTCATTTTATCTTCATGATTGCCTGTAAATATGTAGTGAACTATTACTGGTTTTATTTTGATCATAATTTGACAGCTGCCAACATGAAGATCTTTCAATAAATCTATTGTCTATTTTGCTTTGATTTGTTATAACCAGCAGCTGGTCAAACCAGTTGATACTGAATACTTGCTAGCCCTGCATTCTTGTTAAATGCTAACAGCTGGATGAGGAGTAATTAGCAGTTTGCAAAGCTGTCAGCAGTACCTAAACGGATTGAATGACGGCTAATCACTGTTAGAGGCAGAGTGCAGCTATCAATCAGACTTTCATAAAGTAAGAAAAGAAATTCATTTAATTCATTTTGACAATGAAAAACACCAAACTTCCTTACAGTTGAACAGAAATTTCTTACACATAAATATTGGGGACATGGAAGCCATTGTTTTCTGTCCTGACAGCAACTCAGTGTCCCTGCTACCAAGTCCACTCCTCGTCCTAGCAACTGTCTGAAGTGTTTGAAACCTTGGTGCTTTCCTTGACCTGAAGATGGTCTTCTGACTACACATCCACTCAAGTCATTGGCAAGTTCACCTAGCAATACTGCTTTTACCCATGCAGTTCTACTTATCAAGTGTGACATTGTGACTGTATTATCTTTCTACTCAACAATTCCACAACACACTGATCAGTCCAGGGATCACCACAGCTTCAAACTCAGTGTTACCATGTACATTTTCACTTGCAACCAATTTTTGGCAATTGAGGTATAAGCACAGGAAGCATTTCTCCCACAACTCACTGGTACAGAAACCAGAAATCAACCCATAGTGATTTCCAGAGGGTTGAGCAGAGCTCCTTCATGGGCCTGTTGGTTTGTGAAGTACATTCAGCTTTTCAACTCTTGTAGAATCACAGGACACAAATCAGTGTGCAGACACCAGCTTATTCCTCTTGACCCAGTCTTTTTCCAGCTTTGTAGCCTTACAATATTCTCTAGCACAGTTTAAATACTCAATGACAATTGCCAAGAAGTTTAATCAACTCCTCACTTGAAGCAGTTCCTCACAGAAAGCCTTTGCAGAAAGATGTCAGTAAAATAGCAATCCAAACTCCAGTCTCTGTTCATGCAAACAGCAATCACAACGGCACTGCCTTCAAGGTGGGAACAGCAGTCAGGGATCCATCAGATTGTTCATGAGATGGGTTTTAATGGATTGGACGATCTTTTCTTAATTTCCTTTCATACGTGAAATGAACCTGGCATTTCACAAATCCTGGATTTCCCTTTTCACATACCAATCCGGAATTCTGTGAATCTTGAGTTTCACGAATCTAGGATTCCTCTTTTACATATGAATCCAAAGTTTCCTGCCTCACGGAGGAAGCTCAGCTTTCACTGAAGTTTGCTATTTTTATTCCAGTATTATTAGACAGGAGTTGTACTGTTTACTGCCCCGCAAACACCACCATTATTGTGACATCACAGCAGCATGTTACATTAAGTATACTGTATCCTAGAGACAAGAACATAGAGAATTCAAGGGACTATCAATGGTGGTCATGTGAAAAACTGGAAATAATTTTGTATGAAAGGACACAAAAAGACAATGAGCAAAAGTACTGAGATAATGGGAGATAGGAAAAGGTGCCGATGGTTAAAAAATGCCCTACAGAGAGTAAAATTAACAAAGACCTTTAGCACCTCAATATTTATTTCCCAAATAAAATGAAGCAAGTTTCTCAGTATGGTGAGAAAACTATCCCAGATTCTGATCATGTGAAAAAATAGATCTGTGATAATCTTTACACCAACAGTCACGACTATTGATACAACAGTTGGAATAAAATCACAGCACACTCTTAGATTTAGTTAGAATGGCACCTTCCATCCAGTTTTAAAGGTGCAGAGGAGGAAATTGAGAGAGGCAACCAGTTCAAGAAAGAAAGCTAGAAAGAGAAGTTAGCTAGAGAGGAGAAATAACAAAATAGGTTGATGAATGGTGGACAGTGTAACATATTTGAAAAGTTTACTTCAAAAGGTCAACATACACAAACACAAGCTGTTCCATTCAAGTGAATATTGGACCAACAACAGGTCTTGTTAACTTGTGCAAGGTAGATCCACACTGCGATACAAAAAGAGGAACTCTTTTGCACATACGTTTCTTCTGTGGATACTGGACGAAGATCAGGGATCCTGGGCAGCTGATTTTGGTCCAGAATCAAAGAAGATCCATGTTGCAAACTCTCATTGTGTTCAGCTAGTATCAGTTCAGATGAATGATTTTGTAAGTGCCACCATGTGGTCCACCCCACAAGCCACATCCACGACGTCGCCTGGTACTGTCACCTAAACAAACAACAAATGCAGTTAGCTACCTCCTCTCTGGCTACTCAGTGTTAGGAAGAATGGTCTTACCAGAATGTAGCAGAAAAGGAACTGGGCTCCAAGAGAGACCCCAAGTATGAGCTCCATCTGGCAAGCTATCATCAATAACAAACCAGTGAACTGGAAGAACAAGTGATCCAAGTTTGACAAAACAGAGAATTTCTTTGATACAGTTTGAGGTGAAAGTAGATGGCAAAGTGTAAGTGAAACAAAAAGAATTCTCAAGCAGCTGTATCTTTAGGGGAATCTTTTGTTGAGATTACAATGGCTAAGATTTGAGACAATATTGTATTGAAAAACTCTCCCTAGGTATTCTCCTTCAATAGAGGTTTCTTTCTGCGATACTGGATTTCATTTTGATATAGAAATTGAAACTCCAAGAATAAAAAAATAAGTGAAGGGCCTACCCGCCAGGGAAAGTACTGATCGTCCATGCTTCCAATGCCAAGGCAACCTCGGAGATTCTTGCCCCACACGAAAAGCTCACCACGATCTGGAACATGAAGACATTATGGACTGGAGTGTTAAGCAATACAGCTATCATTTTATTAGCCAGCACCTATGGAACCAGGAATGTGCTGGTTGATCAAAAGGCCCGAATGATCAATGTGAAAACACACACTAAGAAATAGAAATGTAATGCATCACTGTTATATTTTATATACGGCATAAGTCACTTAAACAGCAATGCAACTTGGCCTTAAATAAAATCTACCGGCAGAGAGCTTTCTCACTCGCACCCTCAACTGAATACTTGGATGTCATGGAGATTGAAATAATACTGTAAACTTCCAGTATTTCAGGTATATAACTTTTGCCAGTTTTTTCAAGAGCACCAGTAAAAACAAAATTTGCTGTAACTAAATAACCTCAATTTCTCTTCCTTTTAATTTATTCAGTTATGAGATGTTGGCATCACTGGCTGGACCAGTATTACCCTGGAGAAGGTGCTGGTGAGCTGCCTGCCTGAATCACTGCAGTCCACGTGATGGAGGTACACCACAATGCTATTCGGAAGGGAGTTCCAGGATTTTGACACAGAGACAATGAATGAACATTGATACAGTATTGTGCAGCACTACCACTGTGCTAAATGGGATAGACTTGCCCCTAGCAACTGAAGACTGGGCATCCATGAGGTGCTGTGGGACAGCAGCAGCAGAATCATACTCCCAACAGAATCTGCAAATTCATGGCCTGACATATCCCCCTCTCAAGCAAGAGAATCAACCCTGCTTCAATAGACAGTGCAGAGGACAAGCCAGGAGCAGCAACAGGCATACTTAAGAATGAGATATTGATCTGATGAAGCTAATAACACAGGACTATCTGCGGGTCAAACAGCGAAAGTAGCATGTAACAGACAAGAGTTAAGTGACCCCACAACCTCCGGATCAGATCTAAACTCTGCAGTCCTGCTACATCCAGTCCTGATGGTGGTGGACAATTAAACAGCTGACAGGAAGTGGAGGCTTCACAAGTACCCTCATCTTTAACAAG